AATTTTAAAATAATTTGGAGCATCTGATCAGTGTAGACAATCAATCTGGATAATATTCTCCAAAAGCCACTTTTCTGCCATGGAGATTTATTAAGTCTTATGCTATCAGGCAAGATTATCTGTATTTTCTACTTTCTCCCTCAAACAGCCAGAATCAGAGATGAAAGCTGTCTTTAGTTGGTTTAGGAATTATGTGCTGGAGTTAAAAAAAAAAAAAACCCAACCTACAATCCTACACCTTATTTATTTAACATACCATTTTCAGAAATGGAAGAACATCAAAACTGTCAGGATCTTTTTAGTGACATTTCTTAGATCAATTCGGAAGGTAAATTTGTGTGAAAGTGCTACCATCTGCTGTCAGTACTAATGAACTGATGCAAATCTGCGCTGAGAAAAATGTCAGTGTGGAAATACATGCAGCCAATGAACTGTGTTAGGCTTACAACTCAATAAACACTTCTACTGGAACAAAGTTCTGCTAAATGGTTTTCCGTGAAAATAGAAATGATGGGTCAGATTTCTATCTCTAACTCCAGAGAAGTTATATAGACACATTCTCTTATGAAATTTAATTTAGCAATGGTTAAATGTCTCATAAAATAAGTCTGACATGAATTTTGGGAATTGGTTTCAGAACTATTAGATATGACTATCACAAGGAAATGATAATACTGCACCTTCATTCTTACATCTATTAAATATGAGTTACTTGGTTCGTATCTTAATATTCTCGGCTCTCCAGGAGGGCACAAATATAATTTCATGTACTAAGCTTTCATCCAGTTTCACATTCCAAACTGATCAAATTTGCTTTCCACTCTGGGCACATTCCTTAGCTATAGGGAGGGTCTCTCCCTCAAGCAGGGAAAGGAAAATGGCTGTTGAGCACCTACAGTACGAGGCACTGTGCTAAGTACTTTGTACGAGGTCACCTATCTAAATAATTCTTTGATGAAGGCTTTATTATTGCCACTTTGGAGAACAGGTTCAAAGAGATTATGCTTCAAGTTATCCCTGTAGTGAGGAGCAAAGCAAGTCCACACCCTTACATTGCACCTCCTCACCCCACTGACCAGAGTTGGTGTCAAGGATATTCCCTCTAGGATAATCCTCTCTAGTCCACCTCTTCAAAAATCTATTTTTTACTTAAAAATAATGCATTTTCATAAAATTAAAAGAGCAATCCATATAGAGAGTTCAGCAAATACAAAAAAAAAAAAAGTAAAAGCAGGATAACTTAAATAACTGCCCAACTCAGATGTAAGCATTCATTGGTGAATTTCCTTTCAGACTTTTTATACACACACATTTGTAGTTTTCTGTTTCTTTTTATTCACTCAACACTAAAGCTTCCTAAAGAATGAAGCTTTAGTGCGAACAGATATTTATCAAGTACCTAGTATGTGCCACTCCCTGCCATGTGCTTGTTGTTGATCTTCCCTAAGTATCTTTGTCTTCTGTTTTACTGATTTCTGTACTTATTTTTATTAGTCCCTTCCATATATTTTATTTGGATTTATCTTGTTGTTCTTAATTTTTAAATATTCCATGGGTGCTTACAAGAATATGCATAAAATATGTAATATTCAGTTGTTGGCTATAATGCTGTCCATGTGTTACTAGATCAAGTAAGGTAACTGTGTTATCCACATCTTCTCTATCCTTATCAGCTTGATTTACCAATTTCTAAGAGAAGTTGATTTGTCCATTTTTGCTTGTAGTTTGTAAAATTTTGCTTTATAGGTCCTGAAGCTTTTATCTAACCTCATAGAACTATATCTTCCTAGAGAATGAAGCTTTAGTATGAAATAATCACACATCTCTGATTAGACTTCCTGCCAACAAAGGACTTTTATCTGATATTAGTATAGCCACACCCGTTTCTATTTACCTTATACATTTCAAACACTATTTACCTTTCAATATTTCCATGTCTTTGTGTTTGAGGTATTTCATGTAAAAAGAACATAGTTGGATTTTATTAAAGAAATCCACCTTTATAATCTGTCTCTTAAATGAAGTGTTTAGTTCATTTACAGGCTCTGTGATCTGATTTCATTTCTCCCATCTTATTTTAGACTTTTTACTCATTCTACTTTTAATGTTTCTTCTTTTGGTTTCTTTTTTTCCTCTGTTGCTTTCTTTTGGATTGATTGAGTGTAGGCTCTGTTTTTTTTCCCCCTGATTGCTTTTTCTCTTTAATTAATTTGAAAAGTACATATTATATTTCTAAACTTGTAGTAGTTATACCACAAATTTTAAGTAAATGTTTCACTCAATAAAATTCACAAAGATATTATTCAATATCTTTGCCTTTTTCCTAAACAAGTACCTTAGGATGTTTAACTCTGATCACCCCTTCCTGATTTCTGTACTACTGTTGTTCAGTATTTCAATTGTATCTTTTGTTTTTTAACCCCATAAATTAGATATTATCAGTACTTTGTAACCCAAATGTGTGTTGAGATCTACTCACACTTTACTATTCTTTTTTTTTTTTAATACTCACCCAAGAATATGTTTTTTAATGATTTTTAGGGAGAGAGAGAGTGAGAGAGAAACATCTATTGGTTGCCTCTCATACGTGCCCCAACTGGGAATCATCAAACCTACAAGCTAGGTATGTGCCCTGACTGGGAATCAAACCTGCAACCTTTCAGTGTATGAGATGATGCTCCAATGAACTGAGCCACCTGGCCAGGGTCCCTACTATTCTTTTTGCCTACCATTTTTTCCTATTATCAGATATTTATTCTTGGATCATTTTCTTATTGTTTACTACCTATAGATACTTACTAAAGATCTATAGGTAGTACTAGTAAATAGTCCCATATAATGAATGCTTTATCTTGCCCTCATTTTTGAAAAGTAAGTGTTGTAGATATAAAATTTTAGGTTACAATTATGTTTTTTCAGCACTTTATTAGCCCATTTTCTCCTATCTTGCATTTTTCTGTGTGGAAGTCAGTATAATTGCCATTTCTTTTCAGCTCTCTTTCTCTTTGGTGCTGTGCTACCATGTGTCCAGGTGTGGATTTCTTTTAATTTATCTTACTTGGGATTTATTGAGCTTTTTGAATCTAAATATCAGTATCCTCCAGTTTCTTCTTCTAGAGTTTCTATTAGACATGTGTTTGTCCTCTTCTCTCCCTTGTACTCTGAACCTGTTATATTGACCATCTTTTTCTCAGTTTTTGCTACAATGTCTATAAATTCTTCATATTCTACTGTTAATACATCAGTGCTTTCTTTAACTTTATCTGCTTTTTAGTGTAGGCCTTCTAATTATATACTTTCCTTTCTAAAAATTCTATTTGATTATTCCTTAAATTTGCCTGATCATTATTATAGTATCTTCTTCCTATATCATACTCTCAGTATTTTCTTCCAATTTTAAAAAAATATATTCAACGTATTTATTTTATATTTTTGCACCAAAAATATATGACTATGAGGATCTGATACCTCAATTTGGTATATCTGCTGGCCTTCATACTTAACAGCTTATTATTCTGTACATTTTTATTGTGACCAAGTACTAGTACTTAAATACAGTAATTATTCCAACTCCATATTTACATGAAAGAGTCTTGTGTTTAATCTACAAGTTATATGGCCTTTTAAAATATATATTTTTTTATTGCTTTCAGAATGGAAGGGAGAGGGAGAGAGAGAAACATCAGTGATGAGAGAGAATCACTGATCAGCTGCTTCCTACATACCCCACATTGGCGATGGAGCCCACAACCCGGGCATGTGTCCTGACCGGGAATCGAACCATGACCTCTGGTTCATAGGTCGACACTCAACCACTGAGTCATGCTGGCCAGGCTATCTGTACTTTTTAAAATATGTTTATACAGAGTAAGGCTGAGAAGGTCATATGGAAGAAAAAGAACAAATTTTAAATATATAGAGAATGATGGCTAGCACTATTTTAGGTAAAGCCTCTTTGCAGAGGTAATATTTGAGCAGAGAGCGAGTTGACCAAGTGAAGAGCACCGTGTAACTCTTTGGGAAATGAGTATTTTCTGTTAGGGAATGAGACGTGCTGAGACCTTACTGCCCTAGTGCGGGAAAGTGTTTGAAGTGCTCACAGAACAGCAAGACCAGTGAAGTCCAGTGAAATGAAAGGGGATTGAGTGATAGAGAGACTGGAAAATTCTGAACTATGAAGTGACATGTTCTGATCCACATTTGAAAATATTACTTTTAATATTGTAAAATGGCAAGAGGGGATACAGGAAGAGCAGCTAGGTAGCACTGCAGTAGCCCAGACAAGATATGATGGTGCCTTGTACTAGGTGCTAGTGTGGTAGGGGGAGAATGGTCAGGTATCCTCTTATTATAAAAGTAGAACTAACAAGATTTGCTAAGGAATTTGATATGCTGCATGGGGAAAAAATAAAATAAAAGAGCTAAGGATGACTCCAAGGTGAAATGTCTATTCATATTTTCTTGACTTCAGGGGTTTTCATATTGATTTATATTAGCTCTTTAGGACCTTTTGAGGATACTGATTCTTTTCATTCATTCAACCATATTGTGAGTCATGCACTGGGTCAAATGTTAGTATCTAGTGGCACATAAACAGATAACCCCTGCTCTCATAAAAGTTGCTGAAATAATCAAAATATTTTTAATTTCCAGATTTTCATTTGTCTTTAAATTTGCTCGTGATAATTTAGATGTGGAATATCATAATTGATAATCAAATCTATACTTTTTCTCCTTTTAAATTTATTTTATCACTTTTATGTTTAAAAATCCTATTCAGAATTAGAATACTAGTATTTACTATGTTTATGCACAGTTTACCACTAACCATTATTTGCTATTCTCCAAACACACTGCTTTTTCTTACCTGCAGGCCTTTGTACATGTGATTCCCTCTGCCTACAAAACCCTCCCACCCTTCCTTACCAACTAATACCCATTTCTCTCCCATGATCTCAGCTTTTTTATTTTAAAAATGTTCTATTTATTTTTCAATTACAGTTGATATTCAATATTAATTTCAGGAGTACAGAATAGTGGTTAGACATTTACATAACTTACAAAATGATCCCTCAATAAGTCTTGTATCAAATGGGCAGTTACAAAATAGTAATTGGGATATAAAGTACAGCATATGGAATACAGTCAGCAATATTGTGATAACTATATATGTTGTGAGGTGAAAACTAGATCTTAGTTTTCTTCTACCCCCAATCCTGCATCAGGTGCCCCCCCTCTGTGCTACCACTGCAACCCATGCTTACACCTTCTGCTTAATTCCACACTGTTCTGCATAGGTACTTGACTGTTTACAGGAGTCTTCCTCTCCCATACTGTAAGTCCTTGAGGGCAGAGGAGGTATTCTGATTACTATTTTAGTCTCAGCATCCAGGACCACCTTTCATTTAGTAGGCACTCAATAAATATTTGTGGAATTACTGCATAGACAAAGACGTCCTACTGTGCCAAAGTAAATTGTTATTGGCACATGCAGCCTGTCCCATAAAGGGGAATATTTGTGCAGAAAGCACCAGTAGTTCCCTATGCTGCTGTGGGGACATGAAAGGGACAGAAGCATTCTTTCTCTTTGTCACAAAACAAAGGACAATACTTCCTGTACATTTATAGGTGTCCCCAGATAAGATAAAAACTTCAGTACTTGTTTTGCAAATACTTCTTCCAAATTGGATCTAAGAGCAAAGGAGAGGGTTTGAAAGCATGGTTAGGAATAAGTCTCCACATAAAAACTTATGTCAACTATGCATATATTCTAAAATCTATTGGTTTTCACATAAAATAATATCCTAAATCATCACTAAATAAATTGATATACCAAGATGCACATTTTAATTCTGAATTAGCCTATGCTCTGCCACGCCACAGTGTCCCACTAAGTAGCAAGTAAAGTACTACTAAAATATATAATATACTCATGCCTTTCTACTTAGCTCACTCCTTTATCACTTCATGTACTTTAAAAAAATATATATATATATTATTGATTTCAAAGAGGAAGGGAGAGAGAGACAGAAACATCAATGATGAGAGAATCACTGATAGGCTGCCTCTTGCACGCCCCACACTGGCCTGGGCATGTGCCCTGACCGGGAATTAAACTGTGACGTCTGGTTTCATAGGTTGATGCTCAACCACTGAGCCATGCCAGCCAGGCTCATGTACTTTTTACTGCATTCATCCACCTATCCATCCACCCACCCATTCATTTATTCAACAAATGTTTAGGGAGCAAGTTCTATGTGTCAGGCACTGTTCTAAGCATTGGTGATATACTAGTAAGCACACTCAAGACAGAAGCAAAGACTGCTCTTATGGAGTTTACAATTTATTTTTTTAATTAATTAATTTATTTATTTACAATTTTTTTTATTGATTTCAGAGAGGACTGGAGAGAGAGAGAGAGAGAGAGAGAGAGAGAGTGAGAGAGAAACATCAATGATGAGAGAGAATCACTGAATGGCTGCCTCCTGACATTGAATGGCATGTGCCCTGAATGGAATCGAACCTTGACCTCCTGGGTTCATAGGTAAACACTAAATCATTGAGCAACAGTGGCTGGGCAAAAATTTAGTTTTCTGTACTAGAAAGATATAAAAACAGCATCCCATCACCTCACCTCCTGGGGTTTATAGTCCAGTTGCACCCCCAGTACTGAAAGTCTTGGGTTGCATCTCTAAGGCAGAGAGTTCCAAAGGTCAAGTAAGTTTGTCACCGCTAACTTCCTTTCCCTTAGGGTTTCCAAAGAGAATGGAAAAGCAGGTTCCTAGGGAGAACAGCAATTTTATTTGCCCTGCTGGTGGATGGGGTGAGTAAGAGGGCTTGTGACCAAGAACAAGAAAAGCTGGCAAGAGAGATGCCCTCCGTGGGAGGGGTTTTTCTTTGTCATTTGGAGAGGAGGCATGGGAGGCTCCCACTGGAGAGAAGACAGTGAAGGGATCATGGTGGCACAAGGAAAGAATGAGGTACTTTCCATTATAAGGTGGAGGGTGTTTGAGACAGGCCATGAGTGTCAGGCCAGAGAGGAGTCACCAGTAAACTACAGGAAAACCAGATGCAGAGGTGGCCCAGGTCTGAGACCCAGCAGATAGAAAGAACACTCATAGAATAATACTCACAGTGAGATCCTGATGCCTGAAACTCAACCACCATTTCACCCTACAGATCTAATACATGTTGTACCTGTGCCATTTCTGTAGTGCTGTGTTGAATCCCTGCAGTCAGAAACACCAGACTGTACACAGGGTATATGTTTTCATGAGCTGAGAGGGACATTGAGTCTCCAAAAATATACCTGAGTCAAATGAAATAGGACATCTCATCCCCTCTCCTCATTTCTCCCCATGCTCCGTCAGGGCATCTGTAATTCAAGGGTTACCGAAATCACTAGAACACACAACAGACAACTCAAAAGGTACAAATCTAGGAATATGGGAATTCAGAGAAAGGAGAGATCACTTCTATCTGGCAGGAGGAGGGGGCAGCAAAGACTTCCTGAGGACATGGGACTTAACCTGGCCCAGACCTTAAAACTTGGGCAGGACTTAAGTGGGGGAAGAGAAGAAAGTGGAAGCAGGATTTACAACAGAAAGAGGCTACTCCAAGTTTAATAGGTGAGAGACACACAGAATTCCATCTTTTAAATAAGACTGTGAAGTTTGGTACATTTGGAGAAGAAAAAAATGTTTATTTTTCTTTGTGTTAATGGTGGTGCTGTTAAATGATTGAGGCAATCTCTGTAAGATCCAAGTATCTCCTGGATATAATCAACACCTATCCAAGACATAGAAGCAAGGTTTTAAGTACAAATAATTCTCTACCTTTGGGGGGGGGGAGAGACAAAAACAGGGAAAAGAGGTAGAAAGAAGAAATATCCAAGTACATATTTCTATCCCTAATAAGTGAGTGAGGATACAGATACAAAGACAGTGAGAAAATATTTAAGAAAAAACAATATGGAAAAGACACAAAAGTTTCGCCCAAATGCTCAGAAAGGTCAGCAAGTTTCTCCTGTTCTGGATGGGCAGGGGAGCCAAGTGAAGCTATGCTTTGTTCTAGCTGCACCTGTTGACATTTTGTGGCCAGTTAATTAAAAATGAAATTCTAATGGTTTGGGGGAAGGTTAATTCAAATGAAAAGAAACAGGACAGTTCTTTAAAACTGTATGCTATCCAGAAGCCACCAAGCTTCCTAGAATTTTTATTAAAAATTACAGACATCACAGCAATAGTTCTTAGACACCCTCTTCTCTGCGGAGAAAACTTTGCTTTCATGGATCCAGAGGGAGTGGAGCAGTGAATTCTCCCACACCTGCATAAATCTACAAAGGGCTCCCTCCCTGGGCGGCTGGCAATCCCATTTCTAACTCCTGGAGGAGAGAGCAGAGCTTGTATATATTAATAGAGTCTATATAGGTTGTAGCTTTAAGCAACACTATTAATATGCCAGAACTCTGAGTTCCCAAACTTACTCAGTTATCAATTTGTTGTACATAATTTAATCTCTCTGTATTTTGATATGCAAAATGGAAATAGCACTGCTGATCCTTCAGAGGGTGAAAGGAGATAACCAACAAGACCAGTATAAAGCTTGCTGGGGGGAAAAAAGAGCTTATGCAAATGCCTATTAATTAAACAGGAATGGCTGCACAACTAGGTCAGGCATGATGATAAGACTGAACAACCCACCCCAGCCACCAGCATCAAAAAGAAGAAATGAACATTTAATCCTAATAGCACTTGTTGGTTGCATTTTATAAAGAACATTGAATTATAATATTCTGTAACATAACACAGAGTAGCACATTTCAGACCATCCTCAAAGAATTCTTTGATAGAATATAAACTTATTAGAGACATCAAAAAAAACCCACCCCACCAAAACAGCAAGCCAATTACTAATTAAGAACTTGTAAAAAGCTAATCAAAGCTCTCATCCAGAGAAAATGAGAAAATCTGAGACTCAGAATGATTCTGTATATTGATGAGATTTTATATAGCATCGCAGAAAGAAAAATAAAAACAGATTTTAATGAAGAAAAAGGGCTCTAAGTCTCTGTTTAAAAGCCTTGTTATGTTCCATATCAGTGTTTTTATTAAAATGTTCTGTTCTGGTGGAAACATGCATTTAAAACAAATACCTGATAGGCGGTGCTGTCAGCAGAGGACACTCGGGCTCTCCGTCTCCAGCCAAACCTGAGTGTTAGGAAGGCCAGACAGAAGGACCGTCATCCAGCCTCCACCCACTTTGTTGCTCAGAGGGGTCACTAATCCAAGGTCATGACACTCAGAAACGAGGGAGCTGAGACACGCCCAGATTCAAGAATAGAATTAGGGTTTCCCTATGGGTGCCAAGCCTGCTAAGACCAAATGCACTACTTTAGCATGGAACAACGTGCAGGCATTACATTTATTCTATTTTCATCTTAAAGGAAAACAATTGGGAGCTTGTGCTTTCCAAGCATTATTTTTTTCCTTCCATTACATTACATACATGATGGTGACAATTCTGTCTTAGGAGCCTATTTCTGAGATACTAAACAGTTGCACCACGTTAGAGCTAGGTATGTTGGGGTATAACAGAGTGATGAGTCAACAATCAGAAAATTCAAGGATTTTCAAAAACAAATACACAAAGCAGCCTAATTTATTGATAACCAAATATCAATGTCTGACAACTATCACATAGGAAGATATTTTATGAGCAACACAAAATAAAGTAGCAGTTTCTTAGTATAATTACTCGTGGTAATGGTGCCAAATAGAATTTTAAATCAACTGAAAAGCGTACAGATGAATCTTCAAGATGATTTTTAAAAATACCATAACGCTTCTCTTTAGATATATAATCCATGCAAATTTCTAATAAAAGCACCACAGGAATGTATTTTCTTCTTGCTTCCAACCCAACTTTGATAATAAAAAGATTCCTTTTATTCCCAGAAGCAGATTTCCCAGTGATTTCTTTAGTTTTTCTCTTTAGATAATCTCTCAAAAGAGACTCCATGAAGAAAATTTCTAAGGATGTGATAAACCTCTTACAAAATCTGTTATTGATCATCTAATAAAAAATGTTAGGTAAAGATCTGACCTATAAAAAATTAGCTACGATAAGATATTTCTCCCACTTTTTAGACTGCTAATAATTTGAAACTAGGTAACAAAAAAAATGCTACTAACAGGCTGTAGTATTAAGAAGTCATACTTTCTACATTAAAATGTAATCATAGATTTTTTTTAAAGACAATGATTGTATCCTGGTATTTTGCAAATAAGTATTAGAGGGAGGAATAAACTGATATATATGGGGGAAAATGGCGGTTTCTGATTTTAAAGATATTTTATTAAAATTGTAAGCAACCTGCCCAGACAGTGTGGCTCAATGATTGACCACTGACCCATGCACTAAGAGGTCGCTGGTTCTATTCCTGGTCAGGGCACATCCTGGGTTGTGGGCTCAATCCCCAGTAGTCATGCAGGAAGCAGCCTATTGATGTTTATGTTTCTATCTCTCTCTCCCTTTCCCCTCTCCCTTCCTCTCTCTCTAAAAATCAATAAAAAACATATTTTTAAAAAATATAAGCAACCGCCCTAACCGGTTTGGCTCAGTGGATAGAGCGTTGGCCTGTGGACTGAAGGGTCCCAGGTTCGATTCAGGTCAAGGGCATGTACCTTGG